TTGCTAGTTCTAAAGACAAATATCCAATCACAACATCCATGAGTTATTTTGGAATAATACAAGAAATATGGGAAGTTGATTATGTCAGTTTTAGAGTCCCAGTGTTCAAGTATAAATGAGTTGATATAAATTCTGGTGTCATGACATATGACTTTGGTTTCACATTGGTAGACTTTAATAAGATGAATTACACTGATGAACCATTTATTATGGCTAGTCAAGCACAACAAATATTCTACGTAAATTATCCAGCGAATAAAAAATGGTCAGTGGTTTTGGAAGGAAAAAACATGCACAGATATGATGATGAAGATTCTCTTGATATACTTGAGACAACATCTGTTGCATCAAGACCCACTGAAGACTCAATTGATGACGTTGCATGAAGACCCATTGAAGAGAAACTGCATTCCATGACGCAGGACACCATGGGGTTGCCCACTGAAGCTCCCACAGCACCTCGTGTCAACACTAGATGATCATGCTCTGCTGTAGAACCTATTGAGTATAGTGGTCAGTATGAGCTGTTGGTTGATGGGGATCCCCCATGTATTGTGGCTGTCGGACAAGTACTTGAGGGAGGGCAGACTATTCATGGTGTTCCCATATTATCCCACCACGTGCGTGTGACGATTGACGAGGTTCGGGATCCCCAGGCTCAGGTGCTTGTACCCACTCCAGAAATTCATTTTGTGGGGGAGGCCATATGATCATTTATAGCCTGGCCTAGAACATTGATCATGTCACACATTGCTATTCCACATGTATAATATTTTTATTATTAGTATTTTTATGTTAAATTTAAAAATATTTATTGATAACTTTGAAATTCTTATCTTCAGTTCACACGTTCTTAGAAGCAGCCGATGCATGAGCCAGTCATAGATAAAGATTATGAGATGGCTGAAGCGGAGGATGATCCTCTACCAAAGCTAATGACAAGATTAACCAGGTTGAAGAGAGGAGCATTAGTAATATACTGGAATTTGAGAGTATTTGGTCTTCCCCCCATGTGCCATTATATATCATATTCAATGATGCATTGGAGATCATTGGGGGAGACAGGATGTTGAATATTTTCATCCTTCAACTATGGTGCATGTAAGATAGTTAATTTTGTCTTCCATATTAATTTTATTTAGATTCTTAGTTTCTAACAACTTAACTTTGTTGTTTTAGGTACATGGACACAATCATTGTAGACCAAGGTCGGTGTTCCATGTACGAATTTGTTGAACCTCAAACCATTCAATCTTCTGGTAACACACTTGAAGGCAAACAATATTATTTGCAAACATGGATGATTGAGTCAAATAGAGATGTATATCTTGTGCCATACATTGATGGGTATATGTTGTTTTATGTAAAAGTTCATTAAAGTTTACTTAATTAGTTTACTAACTATTTATGATTCATGATAGGTCTCACTGGCAGCTGATGATCATCATTTCCAAACAATGTAGAATTATATGGTTTTGTTCGTTGTACAGGAAAATGAAAAATGACTTGAGAAGCATGCTTCAAGGGTAAGTGTTTCTCCAAAAATGACTTTGAATTTCATGTTGACCTTAAATTTTTATGATAAATATAGTTATATTAATTTTACTTTGTGTTTTCAATCTATACAGAGTTTTTTGGTAAATCTCGAAGTCAACTAGTTCAAATTTTGTATCCAAAGGTTGTAAGTCATTTATAGTTCTAATTCATTTTCTATGTTATGGAATGATCTAAATTCTTGACTATTTAGTTTGTCATTTTAGTGTAACAAGCAGCTAGATTCATGAGAATGTGACTTCTATGTCATGTCTTGGATTAAGACTATCATTCGAACTGCCATTACAGATGACTGGAATGAGGTAATGATGCATACCTTTAATACATTACAAATCAAATTCATTTTTGAACATATATGAAACCATAATGAATCTTTCTTCATTTTGCAGCGCTTCAAAAGTACATATCCTATACTAGAGGACATAATTAGGCAGATAAGGCAAGAGTGGACAACTTATCTTCTGCAAAGATGGAGCTATGAACACTTATATTTGTTGTTGAACATTACTTAGGTTTAGTTTAAGTTTATATTTTGATAGTTTTGGTATTTGATTGCTTTTTAGATTAAGTAGAACTTTCTTTAGTTGAAACGCATATATATATATATATATATATATATATATATATATATTATAGTATACTGTTCTGGGACCATTTTCTTCTTTTCAGGTGTGGTTTTATTTTAAAAATAAATTAATTTTTTAAAAAACACCGAGTAGATGTCTGTTAATGTCATGTCCGACGTCTATAGACGTCTAATGAGTTATAGTGGACAAAACGTTTCAGGGCCTATAGACGTCAAATATGGATACATTCGACATCTATATAGACGTCTGATATATCCACATCCGACGTTTATATAGACGTCTGAGGCCAAAATAACAGACGTCTAAAGCTCTTTCTGCACTAGTGTACAATGGTTCATCTTTGACTTTGACTTATATAAATAAAGGAAACTAGTTTCTTTTGTGATCACGTAGAATGTTAGTTTGATTACCCTAGAGGTGAATTACAAAATTAGTGTAATAGTTCATTTATATGATTTGAATCTCAAATTAGTTTTAAAGATCTTTAAATATGTTAATATGATTTTGAAAGATAAATTTTATATAATTGACTTAGATGGTAGATGGGGATAATTTCTTGTCTCCACTTATTAAACCTCTTTATATGACAACAAAAATGATTGAATTTTATATTGTGTGAATCTATAAAAAGATTGAGTTAAGGAATAAAATATGTTTTTCATCTTTATAAATTTGTAAATCTTTGTTTTTCGTTTCTCTAAAATTGTTAGTAGGGCCTCCAAAATTATAGATGTGTTATTATTATTTTAGGATTTCAAATATCCATTAATTACATGTATGATAAAATATATTGTTCGATCTTTTAAAATTATTTTTCATCTTCAAAAATTTTTAATACTTTTTAGGTCTTCAAAATTATAAATGTATTATTTTTTANGAGTAGATGTCTGTTAATGTCATGTCCGACGTCTATAGACGTCTAATGAGTTATAGTGGACAAAACGTTTCAGGGCCTATAGACGTCAAATATGGATACATTCGACATCTATATAGACGTCTGATATATCCACATCCGACGTTTATATAGACGTCTGAGGCCAAAATAACAGACGTCTAAAGCTCTTTCTGCACTAGTGTACAATGGTTCATCTTTGACTTTGACTTATATAAATAAAGGAAACTAGTTTCTTTTGTGATCACGTAGAATGTTAGTTTGATTACCCTAGAGGTGAATTACAAAATTAGTGTAATAGTTCATTTATATGATTTGAATCTCAAATTAGTTTTAAAGATCTTTAAATATGTTAATATGATTTTGAAAGATAAATTTTATATAATTGACTTAGATGGTAGATGGGGATAATTTCTTGTCTCCACTTATTAAACCTCTTTATATGACAACAAAAATGATTGAATTTTATATTGTGTGAATCTATAAAAAGATTGAGTTAAGGAATAAAATATGTTTTTCATCTTTATAAATTTGTAAATCTTTGTTTTTCGTTTCTCTAAAATTGTTAGTAGGGCCTCCAAAATTATAGATGTGTTATTATTATTTTAGGATTTCAAATATCCATTAATGACATGTATGATAAAATATATTGTTCGATCTTTTAAAATTATTTTTCATCTTCAAAAATTTTTAATACTTTTTAGGTCTTCAAAATTATAAATGTATTATTTTTTATCCTTCAAAAATTTCTAGTATTTTTTAGATTTTCAAGAATATATATGTATTATTGTGATTAATAAAGATGAACACATTTCAGTATTTAACTTATTATCTGCATAAAAAAATTGACTATATTAAATGGAAAGTCATGTAAAATAAATAATTGATTAAGTTAAAAAGATAATAGATTATATTAGATGAATGATTAATTACATTAAGTTTATAAATATATAATCAATCAAGTAAAGTAAATAATTATGTTAAAGCAAATAATTAAATAAATATTAAAGGTCATTAACAAATTTTGGTTCTATCAATAAAATAACACATTTGAAAATATGAAAATTATAAAATACTGAAATTTAAAAAAAAGGACTAAAATCAAACATCTTTATATTTATAATAATGGATTTCAACTCTAGCAACATCAACACCACATCTATAATTTTAGAGAACTTAAAAAGTTTTAGAAAAGAAAAACAAACATTTGTAATTTTTTTATAGAACATTTTACCCTAAATTAATTGTATAGATATTAAATTAATGTGTGTGATAAAAGCTTATACATGTGTGGTCCTATTTTTACACTAAAATATCCAATTTCATATCAGTTTCATCCTTGCAATTAACAAGATTCTATGCTATGCAACTATTTTTTCACTGAGATGCAAAGAATGGCTTTAATAAGAGGTTCCTGAATATCCCTTCTAGTTAAATAGGAGTTAAGATTTACATGGTAATAAGGATAGACCCTACATAGATTGACATATTATTGGTTATATTTACTAATAAACTTTGTTTAAAAGAATAAAATATAAAATGTCCAAAATTTTAATCGTTACTTTCCTAATCAATTACTATTGAAGTTTATCATCATTTATACTTAATTACAATTTCATACCTATGTTTTGTTAATTCTGCCATTTTAGCTTTTGAACTTTTATACACTATTTCAATCTTTAACTTTCAATTATACTTAACTTTGTTTTAGTTTTTCACCATGGATAGTTCTTTCTACTTTAAACAAAAGAGTGAAAATTGAAAAGAGTTACTATCAGTTGTCATTTACTATTTTTAAATTTGAAATATAATTAAATTACGGATAATTTAAAATTAAAAATTAAAATTATGTAAAATATAAAAAACTAATGAATAATTAAAATTAAGAAAAAATTAGCCAAAATTAGGAAACAAAATAACTTATAATTTAAATATAACCCAAACCCTCGTTAGAAGTCTTTAGTAGTAAGCACATCAAAATTTTAAAATTCCAAATCATTCTCTTTGTTCCCAAACTGTTACCAGTGAAACGCGGAATACAAGTGGTCGAACAAGTTTCACCATCGTCGTTCACCGAAGACGTTACCCGGCCACCGTCAGGTATTTTCCGCCACCATTCTTTCCGTATTAAATTTGTCTTTCGTCTCGTGGATAATCCTTGACTCAACCTTCTGCGAATATTTTCTGCTCATAACTTGTCTGATAAAAGGTCTGACCGTAGAGTTGTAGTCTTTACGAGTATGAATGCTTGATGATGATTCTCAAGTATGTTTGACACTTTATAGCTAATGCATCCTCCGTGTTTTTAGTGACACACGAAGCCTTGAGTGTAGTATTATTATGATAATCGTTGTAACTAAATACACTAGCGAGTGAGAGTTGTTTATAAAAGGGTGATTGAATGAGAAAAAAAGAGAATTGAATTACAATGTATTCTGGTTATATCAATCTTGAATCTCTATATGTTTCGGTAACATATTTGTATTCTTCCTTGCTTCCTAGAATACGGGTTTTATATTCTTGACTCAGATTTTTTCTGCTTGGTTATTTCAAATTTTTATAAATCCCATGTTACTTCGTCATAAACTAAATTCCAAATAACATGTGCTGCATTTCTTGTTGTTGCTCTCCTTCTGGGTATTAAAGAGAGACTATTCATGAATTCCTCTTTTTCCTTTTACAAGAATAAATGATGTGAAGAAAAAGTGGTTGAGAAATTCTAATGCCATTGTTAACTATCCTGTCTAAATAGTGAAAATAATGACATATAACAGTTAAAGATGGCCATCTGAAAAATTGCCCACTTTGTTGACTATGGATCCATTAGGTCTTAAGTGCATTCGGGTAGAAAGTAACTAATTTTTTTTATCAGCAAAATAGAAATTAACTAATGTTGACAGGTGGTAGAAGTTGGTAATTAGAAGGGAGGTTAAGGTAGTAGGTTGGTAGCCTTCTCTTCTCTAATAAATGCCTATAATTGATCTTTTTTCTGGTTTCTGTCGTGACCATCTCATCATGGGCACCTATTACTGTTGTCTATGCCACTTTCCTCATCGTCGGCCTCCATTCTCAACATCCCTGGTATATTGTTGTCCGCGTTTGATAATAAACTTTTGAATTGTGGTTGTTACAATCAAAGTTTCAAGAATGGCTGGAAGAATATTATAAGAAAAGAAGGCGGTAAAGAGATATGTAGAGCACAATTTCTATGTCCTGCTACTCCAACAAAGGGTGTTCGGTTTCCTAAAAAAAAGTTATATATACAAGCTCTATTCACCAAAGTAATTCACTACCATATCTAATAAATGTATGATGTGACCACCGATTGTTTACTGAAGTAGCCAGGAAGGCCTTTTATTTTTGACTCTTCCCCTTCTATCTTTGCTCCATTTCTTTCTCTCTATTTTATTGATGTGAGTTTCTTTATAGGAAGCAGTTAAGGGTTGATAAAATTTACAAGAAATGAGATAAGATAGAGAAAAGGGGACTTTCTTATGATCATCATTCTAATAGGAAGTAAGGCCGAAAAGAAACCGTATGTAAGTAACAAAAGCAGAAAAAAAAGTGAAGACCACCTTTCTAGAATTTGTTTCTCTGCTCAGATACTTGTAGGTTGGATCCAAATGCTGGTGCATTGAACAAAAAGCCGCCAAGGTTGTTTTCTCCTGGGTTTATTCAACTTCATTCATCTTATAGTTTTGGGTATTTGACAATATGACAACCACCTTTTTTCTCAAAGGTTGCTGCTAATTAGATGTTATAACTGGCTGAGTCCAAGTTGCTAAGGCCACATGATAGAGTGTAAGAAAAAACAGAAACTAACTTGTAGGATTTTCAATATTCAAGCAAGATAATAATTATTTTATATTAAATATAGTTGTGTTTGCTGAACATTAACTGAAATTAGTCAAATTGTCTCGTGTCTGATGCTCATTGTTATCTATGGCAATAAGTAGCAATAGGGTATTTGATGAAATCTTATGCTGTTTTACTAATAAAAAAGTGAGTCCAAGTAATTTACCGAGGCTGACTTGAAACTTGATAACACAAAATACAAAAATTAGATTGCAACTAACTCTTTTTGACATTATCCTGAAAGGTTCCATTTTAGTGGATAAGTGAAACTGTGATAGAAGGAAATTCTGGATGATTTTCTCCATTACTCTTTGAAACTGCTAAATGATATAAAATGCTTTGGTTGATTTGCCTTGTATCATTCAGTGTAATTGACTGAGCTTGGATGATGATGTTTGAAATGATTATTGTAGATTAACAGATCTTGGTTAGAGAGTTTTTTGTAGACTTGTACAATCTTCTTGTATCATTCATGTAATGCTTACAACCACAAGTTATTTAAATTTCAAATCTATTTGGTGAATAGAAACACTTAGCGGAGACAGCAGTATGATGGTTTTGAGAAACTCTTTCAACTGTCAAGGTTCTTGCTTATAACACAAGAAACACGAAGACAAAAATATATTGACACTGAGATGAAGTGCGATGTATAAACCTTTAATAACCAAGTTGGTTTCCTCAGGTTTCTCCTCTTCGGATTGGTCACGATTGTTTAGGAAATATTGATTCTCAAAATGGTGTTTCTTTCCACGTTGCCACCAAACTATTCAGGTTTTTTCTTGCTACATCGGTTTCTTCTAACTCGTACTTTTTTTATTCCCTGTTTAGCTCTATATTTCTTGATATATTGCAGTTTTCTTTCACCGAGGTGCTCTTTTTTTGCCATCAAAGTTTCCATCCAGAGTTGCTTGTCACAGAGATGTTTCTCTAACACCCCAAACGGTTATTATTACTCAGTTTAAATCTCCTTCAATGTATGTGTTTGTGCATGTGTTTCTAGTGGTAACTATCGTTTTAGGTTACATGCTTTTCTGTTTGCAGACTTTTAGCATACAACGGAGAGAAAAATATGCAAACCATAGTTGCAACAAATTTTTTATCCATGCTGCAAGGAATGATCATCATATAAGCTATGATGATGGCTTGCCTGAAGAGCCCTTTTTGCTATCATTGATCAAAGATGCCATATGGTATTTGTTAGACTTTAACCTGTCATTAAACTGCATAAACGTTATGAAATACTGTCTTTGCCTGCATGAACTGAAACTATTTTTACTTTAATTAAAGTCTCAGAATAAATGTTTCATTGATTTCATGATAATGATTACAGGAAAGGCAAAGACTGTAGTTGTAAGGATGAAGAAAATTATCTATATGTAACAAACTAGACATGTGTAATAACAAAAACATAACAAATTATAATAAACATGATTAATTATTTGGTAATATAAAGACCAGTAGAATTCACCTTTGAATGTTATTGAAAACATACAACCGTATTTGCTAGTAACTATCTCATTGTTTCCAGGGGGCTAAAATATTTATTTGTATTTTTGGCTGAACAACCTAGCCAGCTGAAATACGTGGAGTGGCCAAGTTTTAGCAGTACGGTACGCCAATTAGTGCATTATTTGCGGTTTCTCCACAGTGCTTCCACACTGCATCCATATGTTTCTATTTCATTTTATAATGTGTGAAATGTATTGAATGATTACATGCTTATATTAATCCTTTGCAGCTGAGGACAGCGATTCTGACTCTTATCTTGGTTGCGTTGCTTATTGTTGCATTATCATCTGTTGATTCCGCTCTCTGCTATCTTTTGGCACTAGCTCTTAGGAAAAAACCATAACCTTGTGGTGTTGCCAATGTTACCATAATATATAAGCGTTTGATCTTATGCTTGTAATCTATGTAGGGTCTATCCTTATTACCATGTAAATCTTAACTCCTATTTTGAACTGGAATGGATTATGTTATTCAGGAACCTTTTATTAAAGCCATTGCTTTGTATCTCAGTGAAAGAAATAGTTGCATAGCATAGAATATTGTTAATTCCATGGATGGAAACTAGATATGAAATTGGATATTTGAGTGTAAAAATAGGATCACACACGTATAAGCTTTTATTCACTCACATTAATTTAATATCTATACAATTAATTTAGGGTAAAATGTTCCCTATAAAATTATAAGTATTTGTTTTCTTTTCTAAAACTTTTAGATTCTCTAAAATTATAAATTTATAAATGTATTGTTGCTGTTGCTATAATTGAAATTCATTGTTATAAATTTAAACATGTTTGATTTTAGTCTTCTTTTTAAATTTTAGTATTTCATATTTTTCATATTTTTAAATGTGTTATTTTATTGATAGAACCAACCTTTAATATTTAATTAATTATTTTCTTTAACATAATTATTTACTTTACTGATTGATTATATATTTATAAACTTAATGTAATTAATTATCCATTTAATATATTCTATTATCTTTTTAACATAATCAATTATTTACTTTACCTAACTTTTCATTTAATATAGTCAATTTTTTTATGTTGATAATAAGTTAAATACTGAAATCTTTGTTGGGCTTCATTTCTAGGATAATACATATATACTTTGAAAATCTAAAAAATACTAAATTTTTTTGAAAGATAAAAAATAATGCTTTTATAATTTTGAAAACCTAAAAAATACTACAATTTTTTTTAAATGTCGAACCATATATTTTATCATATATGTTATTAATGGATTTGAAATCCTTCAATAAATTTATAAGGATGACAAAGCATATTTTACTCCTTAACTCAATCTTTTTATAGGTTCACCCAATGTAAAATTATTATATACAATTTATCTTTAACTATCATATTAAAATATTTAAAGATCTTTAAAACTATGTAAATTATTTCCATCAACTATTACACTAATAAGATATAAAACAACATTAAAAGAAAGTAGTTAAAATACTCCTTAAAATGCAATTAAATGAAGTTTTTAATAAAATAGACATAATTTACCTGTAAACTTAAAATCATTCATAAAAAAATATAAAATTGTAATAAAATAAAATTTTTAATAAAATAGACATAATTTACCTATGAATTTAAAATCATTCATAAACAAAAATATAAAATTATAATTCATAAGTTTACTTTTTATCTTTTTCTTTCTAAAATTACTCTCTCGAAAGTATATTCAAATATGTTCATTAACAAGTGGGAAGAGATAACATTGAAACTTGATGAGACACTGTTTGAATTTGATTTAATTTATTAATTGACTGCCAACAACACTCTTTTCTGTGAGGCTTGAAAACCATCTTAATAAGCTTATCTACTGTTACTGGTATTCCCTTCAAAGTTTCTGCTAAGTATTCCAAACAGGCATTACCCACGATTTTTAATATTTTTGACGGACTCTGGTAGTCGATAATGTCCTTTTTGACAATGAATGATTTTTCTAAAATCAGTCTTTCACATATTATTTATGATAACTTCAGTTATTCATATATTTTGCTTCCTTCATAAATAACGGATGATTATGGAAATGCAGAAACAATGATTTTTCTAAAATCAGTCATTCACATATTATTCATGGTAATTATGCACATATTTTGCTCCCTTCATAAACCATGGATAAACAATGGATGAGAGTTGTTTATATAATGGATGATTGAATGAGAAAGTAAATGAATTGAATTAAAATATAGTCGGTTTCGAGAGTTTTGTATTCTTAATTTTTTTTTCATAGCCATTATTGTTATTGTTGTTATTCTATATATTAAAAAATTACAAGTAATAATTATTTAATTTAATTTAATATATTTAAATATATTAAATCAAATTTTATATTATTACTTTCTTTTTATTTTTATTATTATTACTTTTATTTTAATTATATTTATTTTATTTTTTTAAAATAATTATTGTAGTAATATAAATTATATTTTAATAATTATTAAAATATGAAAATATATTAAATATAGTAAATAATATTAGAATTTTAAATTAAATTAAAATCTAATTAAATTTTTGATAAAAAACAAAATTTTTAAAATAATTGAAGGGGTAAGGGGAAACATAAAATGTAGTTTGATGATGTGAAAAAAAAAACGCAGAAATAAAAAAAAATGATTTTGGACGAAAGAATCAGAGTAGGTCACGGTGACAAAACTTAAACTTTAAAAGATTGGTAAAAGATTGGTAAAGAGTACATATAGACAAGTTTCCAAATGTCCTATATAAATAATAAATTTGATAATAAAGTTAAGTAATGGAAGCCTTAGGCGAACCCAAATTAAAAAAAACATATCCCATGTTATTTGTAATGACGGAAGTAATATGGAATTTATGAAAAATTTTAAAAATAACTAAACCAAAAAAAATCTGAGTCATGGTTTCATTTTCTTAACGACGGTGGCCAGAGAATATCTTCGGAGAATGACGACGTTGAAACTTGTTCCTAGCACTCGAGTTTGAAGGTTTCAGTTTGGGAACCAAGAGAATTGGAATTTTAAAACTTTGACATGCTTACTATTGAAAGAGTGTTACAAAGAGAATATGAGATATATTTAAATTATAGTTTATTTTGTTTCCTAATTTTTTTTGGCTGTTACTCTTTTTAATTTTCATGTTTCGATATTTTCACTTTTTGTTTAGAATAGAATCAACTATCAATGAAAAACTAAAAATTATACAAAGTTAGCTATAATTGAAATAATGTATAAAAGTTCAAAAGCAGAAATGACAGAATTTACAAAACATAGTATGAAATTGTAATTAAGTATAAATGATAATAAACTTCAATAGTTATTGATTAGAAAAGTAAGATTAAAATTTTTGACATTTTAAATTTTATTCTTTTTATTAGTAAATATAACCAATAAAATTATCATAAATATGATTTATTTAATGTGGTCATTGTAAAATATAATAAATTAAAGGCTTAATACCTGTTTTTGTCCCTCTTTATAAGGGAAATGTTCAATTTCGTCCTATCTTTTTCAAAAAGTTCAATGTGGTCCCACTTTGTGAAAAAAGTGTTCAAGTTAATCCTTTTTGGTCACGGCGTTAAATATTTAACGATCCTGTGCAACGTGGCTGTTTACCTTCATGACGTGGCAGTGAAAGTGTTTTTCATTAAAGTTGACGTGGCAGGAAGTGATTAAAAAATTGTGCTCCGGCCCCAATCTCATTTTCCTCCCATTTCCACCGATTTTCATCTTCTCGTTTTCACCATTGACGCCGAATCTTCTCGTTTTCCAGTCGCGTCGCTTTTGGTTCTCGTAGCGGCTCAGAGTAGTGGGGGAGGAGGAAGGTGGTGATGACGAAGATGAAGGTGGTGGTGGTGATGTGAAATTGGAGGTGTTACCTGCTGAGAGGTTGATGGCTTTGGTATCGGAGTTTGACGAAGAGTCAAATTCTTGAAAGGAATTCATGATCTGTAAGGGAAGGTATTATCGGATATTTGGATCTGCGATGTTCTTCGTTACTGTTTGGGAAGGGGTTGTTGTTTTTTGTTCAGTGACTTTGCGTGTTGGATAGACTGTAAAGCATAAAAAGCACATAAACCCAATTGCGTTTTATGTTTAATTTCAGCTAAATTCTAAAGAAACAGTATCTGAAAGTAACCCAATTCCCTTCTAACAAATATTCTTCAATTTTTTGGATTTCTGTTTCTCCTTCCTTTATGATCATAAATTAGTTTTTCGTTTTTTTTTTATGGCAGAAGTTTTCAATAAAGATAGGTCTTTAATTCGACCTGTATATAACATTTATGTCAATTGCTACAGTGTTTGTTGTTAAAAACACATACATTAAATTGTATTAAACGTATATTTAATGCATTTGAATGAAATAATATCTTTTTCTTTTATATGTATATGAAAAATAAAAATCAAACAAAAACCTGAAAGGCAAACCCATTTAGATTAATGAAATTTCCATTTTGAACAAGATCAATCAGTTAGTATTATAAGATAATTATATTTCACGAATTTCCAATTTTTTTCCTGGTAAACAACTTAATTCAATCTGGAAAAAAGCAATTTCCCTACCACTTTTTATTTCGGCCTAAGTGTTTAAAATAAAACTGCTTAATTAAATGTAAACATCATTTTGGCAATAGATGTAAGTCAATGTTGCTGAATGTTCTCACCAAATGTTTTCCATAAACTAGCACAGTTCATTATGAGACGGGGTTCATGAGATTCAAACTTCAGATTTTAAGTCCAATTACAGATGAGAGTAAAGAGTGAAATGTATTAAATTGAAGTTTTAAACATGGATACTGTTCACCATTGATAAGTAGCAGATTTATCCAAAGTGAATATGTTTTCCAGAACCAGAAATCAGAAGCATATGGAGTGGAATTGCAATATCTATGAACCATGTTCAACAGAGAACATGGGAGAACACTAACCCTTGACGATGTGAGATTTTCAAATGGTATCTTCAAGCAGAGATACATCCAAAACTTAGAATAGCAGAACAACATTCTAATAGCTCAGATAGAGGATCCAAATTCCTCTCCTAATTATCATTTCTTGAAAATTTGGTCCCCAGAAGAAAACTCTAACACGGTTCCTTTGCAGACATAAAACTTAGATTTGCTTCAGCACACATATGTACATCCCTGACACAGGAGTAGCAAATGCTAAACAACACGATGGAATATCAAATTGCATGAGAGAAGACAGAGGGGATGAAACAAAAACCGCTCCCTATCTTAAAACAATGCAAATTACAATGGCAAAAGCATGACAGGACAAGGAATGAACTCGGCCAGCAAATTTGCATCTATGTGCTTTGTATGAATTGCTTCCATGCTAATAACTACCAAATCCAAGTTAAGGTCATCAGCAACATCACCAATGATAGCCGTTGGCTTGCTCCCTTCACCAAGCCTCTCTAGCAAATTATAGTCCTTCAACCCACCTGCATTTTTATCATCAAACACAACAACAAGTAAAAAACTAAGTGCATCACAGCGACCCACT